ACGGCCACTCCACCACATCAATGAGCTCTTCGATCTACTTTCATCGACTGGAAATCTTGAATCTCTCAACACATCATTAACGCATACCCGATAATTTCACGGACCGGTTCTGCGCACGCAACCACTGGTGACTTTAAAGGAGAACCGGTGCAAGCCGGAGGTGTGCCAACAAAATCTCTAACACAAATACTGCTAACGACAGAATTTTCCAAAGAGCTATACACGGCATTACATTCAATGCAGACTTCTAATACATGACCTTCTACACGACGAAACTTGTAACATAAGAACTTCCATACAGCATTTCTCATACGCGAAAAAACTTCTAATGCAAAAACTTCTACGTAAAATTACTTGCAATGCAAAAATTTCAGTGACAAATTTTCTAACGAAAAACTCTGATGCGAAATTTCTTCCACGCAACACATTGTTTAACGCAAGACCTTATGCGCAACATTGCCCCTTAGGCGAACACTTCTAACGCGCTTCTAACTTCTAGCATTCCATGTGACTAAATTTCAATTTTTCAAATTTGAATTTCAAATTCAAAAATTCAAAATTCAATCTCAAAGCTTCTAAGCGGCAGTGCTTCCACGCGATCTCACTTCTAACACACAAGTTATATGATCGATTACCTCTGATTCAAGAATTGATAAGGCCTACACTTCCACACGACATACTTATAGTGTAGGAAACTGAACGCAATCCGTATGGAACAAATAGCTCGAGACGTTGGCGCATGACCAACGTGACGCATGCCCAGGTGACATATGACAGCATCACATGATTTGCTGAATCGGGAGGCATCATCCCAGCCAGTTGCAGATACAATGGGGCTAAAGCTCCTTCGTGGTTCGGGAGCCCACAGCCGACCTGAAAGGCCTGAAAGGTTCCAAGGGCCGGCCATGGTTTTGGGGTCCTTGAGATATTATGGGGCCCGTCTGTCAGTCAGGGGTCCCGGAACTGAGATGGTGACCCCGTTTGTTAACAGGGGCCCGGCGCTTGGCTACCCACATGCCCAACAGGACCAGTGCCACGACCCAAGTGCATGAGAGAGCCGCTTCCGGCCTCGCTCAGGGGCCTCCGATTCATTGAGGGACCCTTAATCGGTCAAGGCGTTCATTATTGAGTAGGACACTGAACAGGAGATCTGTTCAGTTGCCGTTGACCCCCGACACTGAGTGTGGGATTCCCGACGCTGGAAAGGGCTTCATGCCGGCCAGAACCCCAGCAGCCAAACAGGGGGAGAGCTACGGCCCTACGAGTTCTGTCGAAGTGACTCCTCTTGAGTCACTAGGAGGGCCCGTGAGGTAATGAGGCCCTCTGGTCAGGCGCCCGGCTCCGGAGACAGCGACCCCCCCCCCCCCCCCCCCGACAGGGTCCGATCTCGGAAACAGGGACAGAGTCAGGGTCCGCTATATCAGTTACATGACTCTTCTCTCTCTGTCCTCTCCCCTCTCGTCTCTCTCTCTCTCCTCTCCTCTCGCATCTCCCTCTCTCCTCTCTCCCCTCTCTCTCTCTCTCCTCTCTCTCTCTCTCTCTCTCTCTCTCATCTCTCTCTCCTCTTCTCTCTCTCATCTCTCTCTCTCTCTCTCTCCCGACCCAGTAGTCCCTGCGTTACCAAAAGGTTCGGTTCCTGTACCGCACCAGACGGAGTTTTCCGTGTCAACCAGGGATCCCACTAACCCAGTAAACATGTGATTAGGGTCCAAGAACGTCGACCAAATAGCGTCCTGCGTCGCTCAGATGACCTTGAGATAGGGGTGAGGTTTTCTTTTCAGTTGGATGGGCTCCAGGCCCCTCAAGAAAACTTGGCTACAAGCCTCCAAACTTAATAACACAGTCGGCCGAATCCGGGGAGAGTTCCGTTCGTTGGCGTATTTTGGGGTAGTTTGCGTAACTTGTCATTGTTCAGTCCCCACTCCGCGTCCAAGCTCATTGCGCGAAAATATGCGCCTACCTTGAGACAACGAGAGGGCTATTTTCTCGTTCTGGCCTACCGGTAAAGCTTCCAGTCGCATGCCCTGATGGTGGTAGTGAGCAGAGTACCCGAGTACGGAAAAAGGGAACCTAGTCCTCGCAGCGATGATGAAGAAGCTCTGTCGGTGAGCAAGCAAGCGGCTCGTACTTCGGTGCACACTCCCCAGACGTCCAATGGAAGCCTATTGAAGTCATTTGCGTTAGAGGCTCCGGCATCAGAAGTTTTTTTTTTCCGCAACGCAGTTTATGCGCTGGAGTTCTCGCATTAGCAGTGATGTGTAGAACTCCTGGCAATGAAAGCTTTGTCTCATAGTAGAAGTTTACGCACTAGAAGCTCTTGCATTAGAATCCACGTCGTGCGGAAGCTTTTGCTTTACAAGTTCTGTCGCGTAGAGGTTTTTGTGTCCGAATAGTCGTTAGAAGTAATTGCGTCAGAAGTTTTGTAGTGGAACTCATGTCGGACGGGCAACCAATGACGTCAAATCATGACAGCTGCTCGCAGACCAAGGTCAATGAGAAACCCCATCGCGACAGGCCACTTAACGAAAAATAATCAACAACTGGACGTGTTCGGAGCTGAGCAAGAATTTCTTGCCCGGTCAAAAAACTTCCACGCCTGGGGTGTAGTTTCCCATCCAGCTGGAAGGGCTTCAGCCCTTCTCCTTGGACTCTAGCCCCCCCCCCCCCCTCCTCCTCCAGCTTTGAGAAGGAAGTGGGCCAAATCCAGCAGAGAATTTTGTTTTTGGCTATATAAGGAAAAGGTTTTGCTATCGCTGTTTTCCACTGCTCAGCCCCCCCCCCCCCCCCCAAGTCATGTTGCGGAACTACAACCCTACTTCAAGCTCATCATACATAGAACGCTCGCCAAAATTTGACGCAGACAAATACAGAACACGAGGCACAAGGCTTGCTCATTTCTGCCTATTTTATGACACCACACCAAGAACCCTGTTTGCGCAGCTCGGTAAAGGATTTGATAGCCCGTACACCACATTTCGAGACTGTAAACTGTTATCATAACCATCCAGGCGCCCGCCGAACTCTTGGCCTAACGATTTCCAGACCACACACCACCTCGCGTGGCAACATCGATTCGCAACGCAGACAGGGCTACCATGTCGCCCCCGTCACGTGGCTGCACGGCCGCGGCGGCCAGGCCTACAGCAGACCCGCTAGCCGCCTCTCCCGGCGCTTGATTCGCTGATGGTCTGGTTCAAAGTTCACTCGTGGAAGGTCGCTGGGACGCGCAGCCGCCGGGCATCCTGTCTAGGCGGCGCGGCTGCTCAGTATAGCGTGTCTGGCGCGAAAAGGGTGCTGATTCGGCGAAGGATCGGGGGGGGGGGGGAGGAGGGCGAGCAACCACGTGACTGCAGATCAGGGCAGCATGGGAGACGCGAAAGCGGAAACAGAACATAAAGAGAACTCCACACAACATGACGGGACTCGTGCGGGCTCTAGACATGCTACCAGCGCGCGGTCTCGCTCCCAGCTCCGCAGTTACCAGCCCTGTGAACGCGTGCAGACGATACCAGCCGTCCTCACGACAGGGCGTCGATTATGTTCGCATTCTTTTGCCCCTCCCCACACTTGCTGCTTTGGGCCTTCCAATGTTTTCAGGTTTCTAGTGTCTTATGTTGCAAAAATTGAGGAAGAGGTTAAGTGCTATATAAAACCTTTCTTCATTAAACAATATTTGACTGCACGACCACTATGCTGCTGAAATAAGGTATTTTATGACTTATGACACGGTAAATTAAAACAGAACATGCCGTACGTCAAAAAGTGGGCTAGATCCGTCTGGAAACGCGTGTTTGGGGAGGTGGAGGCGGCGGGCTCCTGACCCCCTCCCCTCCCCCACCAGTCAACTACACGAATCGACACGCCGGCCTGCGGGTCAGCGTGGGTGACGTCTGGGGGCAGTAATGGGCGGGGCCGGCTGCAGCCGATAGCGCGACCCTGGCGTCGGGCACCGCGGCGGCGGCTGCAGCCGAAATAACCGGCCAAGTGGCACGGAGAGACTCGTAGAGCCAATCACGCCCGAGCAGCCGGTAAAAACGACAGCCAACGTCCTGCCGACCGACCGGCCGGCCGACCACTGCCGAGTGGAACCTGACGAAGGTGGGAGGGGGGGGGGAGGGGACGGAGAAGGGTTACTCAGACGACGAAGGCGTACTTAAGCTAATTGAATGAGGGAAGCAGGAGAAGAGCACATCACGCGTTAGCCGCCGCCAACACCGCGCCGTGAGTGATATGAATCCTTTCAGACGCCTTACTGTCCATTGCAATGGCAGACGTGAACTCCCTTCAACGAGCGTGCAGAGCATTACATGGGAGCAGAGGCGCGCAACCGCCCCGTGAATCGTGTGAGCTCCACTCCTTTCAAAATAAGGCGTACTTTGCACCCTGTGATGCATGTCGCACTCTCACGAACGGAAGGCAGGCGAGGAAGGGCCCCCGCCCACGTCAACATTCACCGAGTTGTTGTTCAGAGGTACTCTAAGCTCTCCATGCCGGCTTCGCACATAGCCTATCTCTGACACCAGTTGAACGTGACTTCTTAGACCTATCGGTACTTAAAACAGCTGAGTATACCTGCGATAAATCGTCATCGCCCATGTGACACCTGAGCATGGATGGAGTACGCGCTGTGGCCTTTGCCACTGCAGCCACATCAACTTTAAAAAACGACATCATCTTGTTATTATTTCCCCACCAAAAGTACCCTTGTGCCGGTTTACCACACCAGCTCTTTCAGCCTTTCCACCCATGCATGTCAATATCTCATCAGTAGAAGTTATCGCGTAAAGAAAGCTTCCACTTACGGCCGAATCGAGGATGAGACAGCTTTCCACCAGCCATATCGAAGCTCGTTTCTCATTATTTCATCATGAAGCGCCACTTCGCCATGCCGATAATGTAACCTGTCTGGTTGGATGAGAATGGAATCTGTTCTCGAGCATGTTACAGGTAAAACGGAACAAAAAAAACGCACACACACACACACACACGTACACACATACCCCGACAAAGTATCCGAAGCTCTCGTAGGGCAGACTCTGGCCGGGCGGCTGGATGTCCTTGGCCAGCTTGAGCAGCGGGTCCCGGTAGCCGTACACCAGCTGGTGCACCGACCTGGTGATGATGGGCGTCTCCTCGAGCACCTCCAGCAGGGAGGAGGTGGTCAGCCGCGCCGTCAGCGGCTGGAAGCGCGCCTTCTCTGCTGCCGACTGTCAACGCGGATACCGGCCGTCACACCGCTGGTCAACAGGGACGTGGACAAGGTATCCCCCGCATCCCACCATCAACAGACACGGCCGTCGCATTATTGGTCTCGTTGTTGTTGATTGGGGCTTTAGAGGTTCGCAGACTATTAAGGGCATTTTGCATCCACAGCAGTTGACTACCCAGGTGTGCAAATGGCTAAAACCTTATATTAGTCAAAAATGAACACAGCTGAGTCGTGGCAAGAGCGCGAGATTCGTGACCAGTAATGTTTGAATAATTAAGAACTGGAGCATCTCGTCTGAAATAGCGTAACCGCTCTTCGCTGGAATGTGGGCATGAGTAAATGGTATGGTGGACTGCAAGGGTGCATCGTGGCGAGGGCAGTGAAGCCGTTCTTCAACGCACAGAAGATAGCCATGAATCGCGTGTGTGTGTGACCAATCCGTATTCGGCAAAGGACTACCTCTTCTCGTCTCGCATCGCGTGAGCTCGACGACCATATGCCTAGCCGTGACTTGATGGCTTTCGGCTCGGTGTTTGCGGTGACGCTCAATACACGTTGTCATTTTCATTTGCTTAATGCCGTAATGACGGTACAAGTTCCTGGCCCGCAGAAGCAAACTGCGGGTGCAAGGTGCACGCGCTGCTCGTTTTGCCGCCGCGTCAGCGAGCTCATCACCCGCCAAGCCCACGCCGCTGGGTATCCAACATAGGACGACAGGTTTACCCGCACGACCCAGTGCTGTCAGGCGAATCGAAATGTCCTACATCACGGTACACGGCAAACTTCGATGAAACAAAGCGCTTTATTTATGGCGACGAGCTCGGGCGTGTACACAACAAGCTCGGGCGTTTACGCGGAGGCGTTTTTGGGCAACGAAAATGACCGAGTGGCTTGGCCGTTCACAAGCACAGAGCCTACTCCTGTCTCCGTTATCCAGACGTCTGTATATGTGGCTTGCAATTCTGTGCATGTGGGCGATGTGCTCCAAGGCAAGTAACTGAAGATCGGCTGGGACCTCGCGCTGTTTGTTTATGCATGACAGAGAGACACCCACTTTGAGTGCAGTCATTTCCCACGGGGGTACTGGAACGTAACGTGACCTGAGTACACCACACAAGTTAATGCCGCTGTTACGGAACAGGCCGTTCATTTGCACACCATGGTCTACACGTCGCGAAAAACTGCTCGAAGCGTTGGATGGTTTACGACCTGTGCCAAGTTGGAGGTGTACGGCATTCCCAGTATTCCTCTCCTGAGTGACAACGGCAGCTCATTTGCTTCCACTGCAAGACTAGATATTGGTGACGTTCTCAGTGCCCCCGTCCCGACGCGCAATGCAGCGTGATGCCGTCGACTGTCGACTGTCGCACGACCGACTTTCGCACTGCCGACCTCTGACGGTCCAAAACTTCGGTCCGGAGTTAGCAGACTGCCCTCTCGACCTTAAACCGTCGACCCCCCCCCCCCCCTCGACCCCAGCCGAACGTGGCCTATCAATCGTCCGAGTCTGAGAAAACAACCAACACCCTGGAGCATTGTGCGTGAATTACTCGGAACTGTCTCCCCAAAGGATGCGGGCACCCGGCCGGCCACAGGTGACCAAAGCGCACGTAAGCGTAGACTGCGCAGGGGACAGTCCCACGTTGAGGAATCAACGATGGTCGCGCATACATTGTGTCGTTTTTGCGAGGATCTGCAGCATGCCGTTGTTTGGCCTCGGTCGCAAAACCGACCGATGATCTTGCAGTGATGTTGACTAAAGCTAGCCCGGCGTAAACAAGCCCTGGCGAGCGAGGTAGGCACGCGACAAGGCGTGAGGCACGGCACAGATCAGAGACAAAGGGTATGGTTGGAAGCGCTGAAAATAGTCGCTGCAAGACCGTCACCGAAAACAAAACGCACTGCAGCTGTCACCTGCACCAACACATCCAGCGGAGTTGGAAGTGCTCCCCTGTCTCCACATCGATCAGATACCGTGCCAGTCGCGGCTGCCGCCTGCCAAGCTGCGAGAGTGACGTACAATCATGGGTACGTTGAGCGTGGTGATGAGGTCCGTCTCCGGTCCGGACGAGTCCTCCCGAATGAAGAACAGCTTGGTGAAGAGCCGTGCAGACAACGTGCCGTTCGGGTGGAACGTGATATTGCGCCGCTCCCACTTCTGGCTGGAATAGGGCAAGGTCCGATGAAGACACGCCATCCAAAGACGGAGCGCCTGAACACGTAATAAGTGGCCAGAGGGCAGACACACCACATGAACATGTAATAACTGGGCAGAGGGCATACACACCACATGAACATGGAGCGACTGGGCAGAGGGCAGACACACCACACGGGCATGTAACAACTGGGCAAAAGGCAAACGCACCACATGAAAATGCAATAACTGGGTAGGGGGCAGACACGCCACATGCACGTGTTCAAACTGGGCAGGGGGCAGACTCATCACATGAACAGAACACCCGGGGAAGCAGCCTCTCGTGCCAATCATCTGATGATGGTTATATTTGGGGGCACGTCGACTACAGCGGTCATTTGGCGCCCACTACCGTATCACGTGTCCGTCTGAAATGGCATTTCTGGACTCTCTGGACATTCTAAAATGGACTTTATGGAGAAAATCTGAGCATCGTCTGCAGAGGGGTTTGTTTAGGACACTGCTTGGGGTAAAAGGAAGCCAGATCCGGTTCACATCTGGTGCAGTTTTCCGTAACACACGGTGCAACGACTCAAAGTTGTATCGTGCAATATTTATGACATTTAATGGGAGATGTTCGATCAGCCGAGGCGGTACGGGACAAAGTAAAATTAACAAAATATCGATGAATTTCGCGCCGAGAGTGGTGTCACCGCCTACGACCGTTTTGAGTTGCATCGTGTCACTTTTGAGTGTAAGCCATCATGGAGTATATAAATAAATAAAAGAAAAATATAAAATAAAAAATAATAAAATATATGGGGCTTGGAGCTTTAATGTGGCAGCGGCGCGAAAAGCAGTTTTCTTCCACGCAGCGGGGAAGGCGCGAGCCAAGATTCGTAGTCGGTCATGTGCTCCGGGTTTAAGCCACCGTCCAACCGCGTTTGTTTTTGTGTACGTGTTTTTGGGGACTTTTTTTATTCTTATCAGATCCCGGCAGCCAAAGCAGACCACTGCATCGACCACACGTTGTAGCCAAATGCACCATCTGCGAATAGTTGACGATAATAGCACACTCAGAACCATGGCAACATCGGTAATCAGCCAGCAAGCCCACAACACCACCTTTTAAGCCGGTCTTGGATAAGATCAGCTGTAGCTTGAAATGAGAGCGACAGAATCATGCAATCTCGCTGCCGCTGATATACAGGCTACCACGAGTGATCTCAGGTGTACGGGAGCTGAAATATGGCATTGACGCCCGAAATTTTAGGGGACTTATCTGCATGTAACATGCTGTATAAAAAAACTGATTATTCGAGTGTGGGCGTGGACGGAAGGGCATTGCTAACTGTGTACCTTAATCGAAGTATACGACCACACATGCACAGAGCTGGTGATGGCAAGTCACGTCGAAGGTTTCTACAAACAGCTGTTGGTGTACGCCCGTGTACAGATGCCACCGTTAATATTATCATAGCCCATGGTGAACTTGAAGTTTGGACGGTTTATCCGGGTTTAGAGGAAAAATGGAATGAAAGCATCTACTGTCCCATTGCATATGCACGTCATGCCACTGATAGCTACGTCTCGAGCAAAACGCAGAGGCAGAAAAAATTGGCAAGAAAATCGGATATATCTAAAAAGGACTACAAGTAAGCACGATTAATTTCTTGTTCTACTCCGGCCCACGCACACTCTTAACTTACCCAATGACGTAAGGCCCGACCTGCTGCACCCTTGGCTTAGCCGTGCCGTTCAGGAACTCCTCCTTGTTGGTGAGGTTGAAAAAATACACACTCTGCTTGATCTGTACTGGCGGATCTTTCCACGCATGAAAAGTGGGCGAGTCTTCACTGAAGGCTAACATCTGCAAACAGGAGTGTCACATGAGCCATGACATAGATGCCTGTAAGCAGACTGGATGAAGAGCTCCTCTGTCGACGTTTGCCACGCAAATAATGTTATTTTTAGCGCACTGATTATTGATGCAACATTTTACACTGTGTATATTATGTCTGACATTGTCATGTCACCGTCACGTGATCAAGGGGATATCACACGACAATCGCGGCTTTCGACATAAATCCTACCAATTTACTTATGCAATCATCAAAAGCCAATTGAGCTGACGCATCATGCATTCCGCGTACACCGCCGTCCTTACAATTAAAATACTTCGTTCTGTTTGCAATTGCAACAGTGAATACTATGACTTCACAAAGACATTTCGCATTCCATGGTGCGAAATTTACATTGTTAGCATGGACTGGACGTCTAGGCGAAAAATTACTTCAGTTTCTTTTATTGCAAGATGGCCGAATGTTTAACTTCAACTATCTGAGAGGTTACAGCGCAGCCCCACATTTCGTACATAATATGCGTGCAATCGGTCGGATATGTCTGACAAGCGACAGACGGCGCCGCCGTCTATGCGTAGGATAGTTTGAGAACCACCAAACCGTGACCGGGTCAGGTTTGCAAAGTACAACCGTAAGTTGTGCACTTGTAAATTGCGAAGTTGGTGAGTGCATGCGCGAGGAACATTTCACACTTGCGTAAAATAGTTGTTTAGCCTTATTGCTCGTCGAAAGATCGGGAAAAAGGAGAGATAGATGAATTGACATTTCGGCTACATGCCATTGTCAAAATGATCATAAAGAGTAAATTCAAAATCCAAAAATGGCCCGCCGATCCCACTCAGTTGTGTGCGATTTTAGTCCGACAAATCGAGTGGTATCGGCAGGCAACTTTAAATTTTGGACTTATGCTCATAATCGTTTTGAAAAACGTATATAGCCAAAATTCAATATATCTATCTCTCCTTTCACTCGGTTATTCGACAGGGAATAGGGCAAAACATCGTAATAAGGCAAAACAGCGTGAGGAACGATCACGCTTCTCAATAACAACCATCGGTCCCCACATTGATATTCATGGTCCCTGGTCGCATGCGTCCGGCCCGCGTCGCGGCACTGATGACAGCCCACACAATGAGCTTAGGGAAATACTACCCGTGGCATGGCGTTGTCCTACCGCGTGCTACCGCGCATGCGCCATCCTGGTACGTGAGACGAACATTACACCGCACCAGCAACGCACACCGGTCTCCTGCGGGCACTACGTGAAGCGCATCTTCACTATTCTTGTGTCTGTTCGGTCTGCGACTAGCTCCACGTTGAGATCCGCCAATCCACTCCACATGACCACACTCCACATTTCCAACACCACTGCTTCCGAATGTCATGGCCAGCAAGGTCTGCGAGAGGCGCGTCCCAGCCCAGCCGGCTTCCATGGCGCGTGCGCCGAGCCATCATCATAGACATTGCTGACTCGCCTTTCGTCTACGCATCAGACCCGTGTCCAAATTATTCAGAGTATCTGACACGTTAAGCTCTTGCATATGTCCCTCTTCATCGTGCGAATGCATATGTCGTGTTGTGATGTGGATGTACCCACTGGCAACGGTCCAAGGATATCCCAATTAATATGGAATGACCTGATAACGTGCGAAACAACGCAATAATGCAATACCCATTTGGTGACCATATCGTGCGGCCCCTCCCCTGTGGTGTTCCGCTGACCTTTACGATGATGGTCCGCCGCAGTAGGAGCCGCCCGCCCGCCCACCATGTCTGCCACATTTTAGCCTGACCCTTCGGCAGCTCCGTCATTGGGGATTTTACGGCGCGTCATCAGCTGAGTGGTGCCGCTTGCCTCTCTCCGTGGCAGGAAGGGCACGCATTGCGGAGAACCGAACCCCTGCACCTCTGGCGCGTTCGGCGGAGGGAAAAATATCCAACCAATAATTTCTCGCCCGACAACCATTCACGACGATTCTCGCTTTGAGTTTGGCACGTCCCAGGTTATCCTCCAATTTCGTCTCACATGCGCCACGCACAGTCGCATCTTAACTTGCAGCCATAGATAGGCACAGCAAAAAAGGATTATCCGTCTAGAGCACGTCCTGAACATCTCTCGGGGTTCTCCCTTAGCACGGAAATTAATTACCCGCGATAACTATCCCTGCTGGCGGTGCTGAACGCCATCCTGGAGTTTTGCAGCTTTCCGGGGTAATTATCTGAGATTACATGTCGGTCGAACACGCCCCTGGTTTTCCAAACGTGCAGCTGAGTCAGGGCACTATCCGTACTGTCTTGGGTGACTCTCAAGTGATACTCACTGGACCGACGTTACATGCATTATTAAATATGGTACATACGGTGTGTGTAATATGCCTACGTAATACAGCACATACCTTAGATGTAACATCATAGCTTGTAAGGCATATAACAGACAGAAAACAGTTGGTAAATACAGCAAATAATAATCATAATTATTATATATTATACCGTTGACAAATATGACAAACGGTAAAGAGATCATACTGTTGTCAATGTGGTTTAGGTGTCTTTATGCGCGCTGAAATGTGACTGTATGTGGTTCCACGGTACGCATGTATGGAAGTTGTCAGGTATGGTGATCTTTAAATATAGGCATAAACGCTTGTTTCATATAGTATACACTTGAAACATAACAAAGGACTGAACGTGGCATCTAATATAGGCATATTACAGTTGCTGTGGTGCAAATGCACGGAATATTCCGATTCCCAAACACAGCGTAGAATGCCAGTATAAAGCGGTAGCTAAATATGGTATATCCTATAGGTATAATTTGGTTGTCTGGCGACTCACGAAGCGCAGCAATCACAGCAGAGATTTATTGACGCTAGAAACACGCGGGCCACATTATTCCCTATAAACAGCGCATATACCGAACCTCGCAACAGATCGATGAACAATATCTTCTGCAGGGAACGGGCCTGACGTCACATCGATTGTGCCTAGCGCACGACCAGGGATCCCGGCTCTCTGTGAGCAGGAAATACCACGCGCCCAGACAGGTCTCGACAGGCGTCGACCCTAGGGACCGGCTGGCACATCAGTGGGCTGGCTGCATACTGGCTGGCTCCGCATCGCACGCCGCACAAATGGACTCCGAGATCCGGTTTCTATCCTGTGCATAGCGTATGTTGTGTATGTATGTCCCGAAGTGTGGTTTTTCAGTATCTACTCCGGTTTTCTTTGAAATAACCTACTGGGGCTTGGTATGCACTTCCGAATTTTGCGCATGGATATTTCAGGGTCTTCAATTTTTCTCAATTATTTGAAAGATCCTTTGGAATCCGGCATTTATTTAATACATTTGTTGAAGGATCCTTCGGAATAAAGCACCTATTTAATACGTTTGTAGAATCCACGTTCGGAATCCACGATCCTGCCTTGGGTCCCACAACGTGTCTGGTTGTAACGACCAAAATGTTTGACTGAAAAATATAAAAAAACACCGAAAGCATTGCGTGCACAAGATATTTCGGATTCCAACCAAGCCTCTGACGCCTGAACTGAGAAGACATTCCCTTATAATGCCAGGGCACAGCCTTCGCTCTGAACCCCACTGGAGGGGCGCGTATTACCAGACTTGTGTGGGGAGGACCGCATGATGCAAGACATGCCTCAGCGAGACGCGGAGAAGCAACACCAGCTGTGTGTGGGGAGATCCGAGGATCCGGGTCGGACCAGCATTGAGAAGGTTCGTGAATACACTCTTGGTCGGTTCGGACTCGCAACAATGCTGAAAAAACTTGCGAAAACAGCCAAATTTTTAACCCTGCTCTAGACATTGATCGCAAGGGCTGCCACTTGTGTCTAAACTGCATCACGGTCATACTCTGCAATACAGGTAGGCATTGTGGCGGTTTGCTCAGACGATGCTGTCAGGGCTTAAAATGCACCAAAAATGTCTTTCTATCTGGCTTTGCACAAACAATCCTAGCAGTTCAGCAGCCCTCCTTGAATTCCCCCGCAACAAGTGTTAACTCACGCCTTGATAATAGCCAACGACGCACATTCCATCTAAGATATACCTACTTATCCCTTCGGATAACCTGTGAAGGCATTTGGATGGGTCTCATTTTGAACCATTTTTTATTGTTCTTCTAATGCCAATTTCATTGTTAATCGCAATGGGCCCAAAAGACAGCTCAACTCTTTTGTGATTTTCAATTACAAGCCAAACGTCGCTGCTTGAGTGCGCGAAAAGCCATTTCGCAATAAGGAAGAAATCCCCTACAGTTGGCCGCGAGGTTGCCAGGCTATTCGCCATTCGGTAACCGCCATCCGGTTGGCGATATTGTCCGGTCTTGTCCGGTAGCAGCGATCTTTTCGGCATCCGCGTGCGGCTTACTACGCAAAAATTGCAGTGTTCACAACTTGGATGTACTCCGCATTCATCGTCGCTACCAGCTCGTAAGACTGGCGTTAAACACCACGCTGGCCATCTATGATTGCATTTTTCCAAGAACGTCGACAATGGAACGTTTTTAGGTGCTCCAGGAAGCAAACCTGGGCCACCAAAGATTGCATCCGAGCCTCAGCCGCTGTGGAATAATATTTCCATGAGTAAGTAAAACAGTAACTGGACCAAATAATTATAACGGTCGAAATATATATATATATATATATATATATATATATATATATATATATATATATTGATCTATCTATCTATCTATCTATCTATCTATCTATCTATCTATATCTATCTATATCTATCTATATCTATATCTATATCTATATCTATATATATCTATATCTATATCTATATCTACAGCCATATCTTTATCCATACCTATACCTATAAAGTATATATCTATATCCAAACGTCGCTGCTTGTGAGCTTGAAAGCCATTTCGCGTGTAAGGAAGAAACTGTCTTAGGCATATAGTCTATTTTTGGAGAGAGAGAGAGAGAGAGAGAGAGAGAGAGAGAGAGAGAGAGAGAGAGAGAGAGAGAGAGAGAGAGAGAG